GGGAGGAAGCTGTCCTGCCTCCAGCTGGTGCCCCCCCACCACGGTCTTGCAACCCCTGAGCTCTGTCCACAAGACACCACAGTCATCAAGAGCACCCACTTCTCTCCTGAAGGGACAGACACAGCACATGCGTGGGTCTAGGGCCACCTCGGCTAGTTGTGGTCCTGCTACCTACACTGTGAGGTCCCTTGGGCAAGGGACCCCACCTCTCCAGGTATGTCCTCATCTGTAAAATGGGCATGAAGTGCCTTTTTGGTGAATCTTTTTATTGTGATTAAAAAAGGAAGCACACGCACAATGCCCTGTGATGGCTGGTGTGCAGACAGCCCTGTCTTGAGGACATGCCAGGTGAGGGCAAGGCAGAGTGGCACTGTGCAGAGGGGACATCCGCGGAGACTTCCCAGAGGAGGTGTCTGGAGAATCCTCCACGGCTGTGTTGGCTGCTCAGCCTATTGTCCTGGATTCTGGGTGCCCAGGTCAGTAGATGCTCCAAACCCCACGTCGACCTGTTGCAGAGAAGGGAAGGGAGTTAATGCTTGCTAACCCCCTACCATGTGCCCAGCCCTGGGAGGCACCAGAGAGGGGCGGTGTGCTGGCCTCGGCCACCCAGAGAGGTGGGAAAGGTTAAGGTTAGCAAGAGGAAGCCGATACTTTTGAAGGCACAGGCAGCGCCCGGGTGCCGTCCTGCCCCATTGCTTCCAGACCCCGGGGTACCCCCCCAACAGCCTCCAGAATCTGCTCCTGCTCTGTGTGGGAGGGAAGTGCATCCGGTTAGCGCTCTGCTGGCCTAGATCACGTGGCCTCCAGGCCTAGAGGGACAGCATTCCCAGCACAGGGAAGAGCAAGGGGCTGTTCTGTGTACCCTCTCCTCAGCCCTCTGAGCTCACCTGCGTCACCAGCCAACCCTGTCAAAGCTGCTTTGGGGGATGGGGTTGGACAGTGACCTGGCTCAGCTCTGCACCCCGTCACACCAGGGAAATGGGTCCTTGGCCGTGTTCTCTGCAGGGGTGGGCGGCTCCTGCAACGAGGGGAGCACCATCCCGGGAGCAAGATGCACTTGGGTGGAGTCTTGGCCTGCTTCTCTCTGGCCACACAGCATGGAGGGTGACTTCCCTCTCTGGGCCCAGAGCCCTCAGAAGCTCCCTGCGCCCTTGACCCGCAGAGTTCACTCCCCCCCCGAGGGGCGGTCCTGAGGCATGAAGACGAGTCCATGTTCCGGGTGGGGACTCAGGCCCCGCCTGCCCCCTCTGGAGGACCCAGCTGCTAGGCTGAGCTGGACTCCGGCCCCCGCAGGGCAGGCAGCCCCCCAGGGATGCGCTTGTCACCATGACCGCACCTCTCTTCGGCCTCTTGCTTAGGAGTCGAACAGGGTCCCCTTGGACAGCCTGGGGCTGCCGTGTGCCCTACACGTGTTCCTTTAAACCTCCGTGTGGTCACTGGTTCGTCTCCTGAGGCCTCGGCTGTTGTCAGTGTGCCCTCCAGGGAGACCCTGGCACCAGGGAGGCGTGGACAGGCCACGTGGGGCCACCGGCTTCCACTACCGGAGGCTGCTGTGACCTCAACCCTGGCCCATGTCCTGCAGGCCCTGGGAACCTGCACTGCCGCCTCGGGGGGAGGACTCGGGTCTGAGGACAAGACGTGCCTCACACTGTTCCCCAAAACACCCTGTGTTGACTGCAGCAGGCTCAGCCTTCCAGAATGTTTCCCCTTCAGTCCCAGATCTGTGCCCCAGAGTCAGACGGAGGTCTCCTCCCTGCCCCACAGGCCTGGCCCACAGGTGATAGTCCCCGAGTGTCGTCTTCAAAGAACACCTGTACCATTGCGGGAACATGAGTGCCCGTCCCACCCCAGTCAGCACGCCCGAGGCAGCAAGGCCGGCCCTTGGCAAGAGGGTGAATTAGTCTGGTCCTGTTTCCTTTCCACCCTTGGACACAGAGCATCCCTGCCTGGAGCAGAGATGTCCCTGAAGCCCCTTAAGCCCCTTGTACCTAATGCAGCTCACTCACAGGTGGGGGCTGGGCGCGGCAGGCAGCCTGTGAGTGAGCAGCTTGAGGCCGTGACTCGTGACTTATCCCAAAGACTCCCTTCTGCCGAGCTCCGTGCCCGGCAGCCATACGTGAGGCCGTCACCCAAATGCCTCTGGGGTGCTAGTCCCCTGCCAGGTGCCAGCGTGTGAAGGCACCTCAGAAAAACCCAGTCACTGGGAAATGGGCTCGTCAACCTAAGGCCAGAAGCAGGTGCCCCAGGGGTAGCAGGAGGAAGGAGCAGAGAGCTCATGCCAGGGCAAGGGGCTTCAGGGAAGGTGCCCCGGGGTAGTCCCTCTCCTGGGCTTACAAGGAGAAAGAATTTGCCTGACAAAGTATAAGGTGGAGGAGGCACTGGAGGCCAGGAATCGGTGTGGACAGAAGCACACCAGTGTGGAAGTTCGTTGGGTCTGCGTGCTCATTGCGATCACATTTGCAAAAGCTAGAAAATAATGGAGCAGAATGCTTACGCCCTCCAAGTGGGGAGTGTGGGAAACGCAGATGTTAGGACATCTGGACATCACCTGCTTGGGTCCCGGCATGCACGGTGTCCGCACCCTGTTGAACAGAAGCAGGGATTATCTCCAGTTCACTCTGGCCGGTGGATGGACCCTCCCGCTCCGGAGCAACTGATTCTAACAACGCCCTTGCCCTCATCCAAGGCCAATGCTGTGGGTAGGTTTTGAGGGCCTCACAGGCACATCTGGGTTTTGCCCTCCAAGTGTGGCACCGCTGTTGTGATAACAGCTGTAGTTTACTAACTGAGGGCTGTGTCTCAGGTACTGCTTGGGGGACCTCCATCCTTAGTGAAAAGGAAGTCATCGTGAAAAAGGCAGTCATCTCCGTATTCCATTTGGGAAAATTGAGGCTTGCAGAGCTTAAATCGCTGGCTCAGTGTGACTGAGCTGAGGATGGCTGGGATCCTAGCACTGGCTCATCTGATCCCAACACATATTCTTTTCTTTGCACTGGGTCAGATCACAGGGGACCCCATTTTCTGAAAAGGTTAAAATTATATCTTGGTAAATTTGATCACTGGTGACTTAATTGTGGTTTCATGGCTACTTCTCTTCTAAAGCCTGATTTTTCTTTAATGGGCAAGTCTTGGGGGAGGTGACCACGGGTGACCCCTGCAGCCAGCAGGCAAACAGCCCCCCAGAGGCTCCAAGTGGGCAGGCTGGGTGGAAAGGCCCCCTCGTTGTGTTGAGTGGAGTCAGTGCCCCCTAGAGGACTGAGCAGGGGACATGGAGGTGGGCCTCAGCCATGCCAGCCAGGCCACAAGGACGAGGCCAGGTGCGTGTGTGACCTTTGGTGGGTGCCCAACAAGGGAGGCTCTGCTAGCATTAAAAGGAGTTCCAGGAGGGGCGCCTGGGTGGCTCAGTTGGTTAAGTGTCCGACTCTTGACTTCAGCTCAGGTCAGATCTCACAGTTCGTGGGTTCAAGCCCCATGTCGGGTTGCTTGCTGAGAGTGCAGAGCCTATTTGGCATTTTCTCTCTCTCTCCATCTTTTTCTGCCCTTCCTCTCCCTCTGAAAACAAATACACATTAAAAGAAAATCGTGTAAGGAGAACTAAAAGGATATTCCAGAATTTTAGTTATACCTCATCATTCCAGAACCCTTCCTGAATCCTGCCCTGTTCCTTCACAGTTAACCCTGTGCCTGGGTCCTCCACACCAGCAACTGTCCAACTAAACCAAAATTCTCTATCTTCATATCTACTGCATCTTCCAATTTCTCGCTTTCCCTCAATTCTGTTCGGAACATGAGCTGTTTCAGGCACCTTGCTGGCTCAGTCAGTAGAACGTGTGACTCTTGATCTCGGGGTTGTGAATTTGAACCCCACGTTGGATGTAGAGATTACTTAAAAGTAAAATCTTTAGGGGTGCCTGGGTGGCTCAGTCAGTTAAACATCCATCTTCAGCTCAGGTCAGGATCTCGAAGTTCGTGGGTTCGAGCCCCACATTGGGCTCTGTGCTGACAGCTCAGAGCCTGGAGCCTGCTTTGGATTCTGTGTCTCCCTCTCTCTCTCTCTCTTTGACCCTCTCCTGTTCATGCTCTGTCTGTCTCTCTTGCTCTTAAAAATAAATAAACATCAAAAAAATTTAATAAAATCTTTAGGGGTGCCTGGGTGGCTCAGTGGGTTAAGTGTCCCTTGGTTTCAGCTCAGATCATGATCTCATGGTTTGTGGGACTGAGCCCTGAGTCGGGCTCTGAACTAACAGTGCAGAGCCTGCTTGGGATTCTTTCTCCCTTTCTCTCTGCCCCTCCCCATTCTTGTGTGCATGCTCTAAATAAATAAATAAATAAACAAACGGGGCGCCTGGGTGGCTCAATCGGTTAAGCATCAGACTTCGGCTCAGGTCATGATCTCACAGTTGGTGGGTTTGAGCCCCGGGCTCTGTGCTGCTGACTACCTCAGAGTCTGGAGCCTGTCTTCAGATTCTGTGTCTCCCTCCCTCTCTGACCCTCCCCTGCTCATGCTGTCTCTCTCGCAGAAATAAATAAAACATTAAAAATTTCTTTAAATAAATAAACTTTCGAAGAAATCTTTAAAAACACAGAAAGGGAATAGGAGCTCTTTGCATTTCGCCTCTGGTATTAGAGTTTTTATGTTCGGTTTTTCATTCATACAGAATGCGTGCATCCAGTCATTTAATAACGATCCGTGTTACTGCTATTTGCCCAGCCACGAGCAGGCGCCGGGGAAGCCGCGGTGACAGCCGGGCACACGCGTGTGGCCACGGAGCCTGCGGTCCCGCAAATCCAAATGTGCGTGTGGAGAACTTGAGCACCGACACGGGCGGGCCTGTGGGCCGCCGCACCAGCCCTCGGGAGATTTCACCCCGCATGCGCTCTCCCATGGGTGCCGGTTCAGACTCCACGCAGGGTGGCCCAGCCCGCTTCTCGGCCGGGTCCCCGGTGCGGTCCTTCTGCGACTGGCCGCGCCTTCTTACACCGCTGCTTTATCTCTGCAGGCCTCCTGCCCTGAGCGGCAGCCCCGTTATCTCCGACATCTCGTTGATCCGGCTTTCCCCACACCCCGCCGGCCCGGGGGAGTCCCCCTTCAACGCCCCCCACCCCTACGTGAGCCCCCACATGGAGCATTACCTCCGTGCCATGCACAGCAGCCCCACGCTGCCCACCATCTCCGCGGCCCGGGGCCTCAGCCCAACTGACGGTGAGTAGGGCCCGCGGGACTGGGGAACCGCGCCACTGACCCTGACAGTGTCCATTCCCCGGCCCCAGTGGCCCGGGATAGTCAACAGGTTGCCGTTCCTCCCCACCACCCTGAACAACGTGGTGAAAGCCAACACAGTCTGGGGGCCATTGTCCTCGAGAGCTGTTCCGTTAGCACCCCTTTGTATGCAGATGGTATATAATAACAGCAGGGTGTGTTTGCCCTTGTAGATCTTCTCTGAGGTGAGGGTTATTTGGTTGCAACAGACAAACTCTGTTTCTGGTGAAGTAAAGGGGGTGTTGGGTCAGGGTCTCACGGGCCTCCAGAGCGGAAGGACAGCGCCGGACTGGCGTCTGCCTACATCCCTCCTTGATATGCCCCTCGCAGGTCAACGCGCGGCCCCCCAGTGACGCCGCGGGCCTCCACGTGTGAGCACTGGTGGCCTGGTGCATCTCAGGTCAGATGCTTGAGAGAGAACGGACTGGCCCAGCTCGAAGATCAGATGCCCCTCCCCCCATCCAGTTAATTTGAGACAAATACGGTTTTCGGATCTAAAATTTAGTACTTCCAAAAGCACTCCCTCCAGCCCCAGCCCCGCCTCACTGGTGCACACATACAAACCCCCAGGCGCGCGCACGCCGGACGGTAACGGGCACGTTTGGGAGCTGGCCCCGCCCATCCGGTCATGCCCGGAAGTGCTCCCACCCCACCCCTAGCGTGGAGAAGGCTTTACTCACTGCCCGGTGCCATCCCCCTGGTACCGGGAGCCACTGACTGCTGCCATTTTCAAAAGCAGCCAGGTTGCATCCTCTGAATATCTGCGCACTGAAACTCTCCCTCTCGGGCAGAGGGAGGTTCAGGGACAGGCAGTTTTGGGGGACATTTGCACTCAGAAGCCCGCGGGCAGAGGCTCCGGGAAGCATGATCCCAGCAGGTCCCTCGTAACCACGTTCAGTCCTCACCGGGGTGGGGGGGAACGTGCTGTCTCCCACCTCTGGGATAGAACCCGAAGCTGGAGCCGAGGCCTGGACCTGGGAGGCTCCGGTTGGATTTTCACGAGGAAAAGGACTCCAGCTTCCAAACACACAGAAAGGCTCCCTGCGGCGTCTGGCTCGTCGCTCCAGCCTATGATTTGCCCTTGCCTGGCCTTGACCGACAAGAAAGCAGACGAGGCAACTGCCACAACCGCAGGACGTGCAAGTGGCTGGCCCAGATGCAGCCGTTCTGAAGTGACCCCTTGGGGCCAGACCCCAGCCCTGAAATCTTCGTGGAGAAGGGCGACGCCGCCTCCACCTTGAGCCGCCGACCCTGGAAAGTCTTCTCCGCGCCTCTGCGGATGACCCAGAGGGCTGGCCTCGAACGTTAGGGTGCAGGCCAGCTTCCAGACGCTGCCCCGGCCTTGAACCTCACGCTGGATGCCGTGGGCGGAACGGTGCCTGCCCCCAGGAAGAGGCGTCCACGCCCTACCCCGCGAACCCGAGAACGTTGCCTCGTTTGGGAAAAAGGCCTTTGCGGATGTGATTTCGTTGGGGACTTTGAATGAGGAGACCGCCCTGGAATGTCTGCGTGGGCCTTGGATTCGATGATAAGCGTCCTCACGAGAGATGCAGAGGAGAGAGCAGCGCATAGACGGTCGCGCTGTGGCCACAGGCGAGGAAACTGGGAACCCCCAGAGGGGGAGGAAGCACAGAGCAGGTGATCCCCTAGAGCCCCTGGAGGAAGTGTGGCCCTGCTGACGCCTTCATGTCAGACTTCCGGCCTCCAGAACTGTGCGGGAAGGAAATTGCACGGCTTGAACAGCAGTTAGTGCTGAGTCTATGCTCACCTGTTACAGCAGCCGTAGGAGGCTAATCCACATGGCCCCTGGGTCAGGGGCCCTAAGAGATGTGTCTAGAAGAAACAAGGACACCGTAGCTCCAGCAGACAGCAGTGTCGCCCACTCAGAGTTGTGGAGCATTGATTTGATGCCTGATTTCCCTATAAACATCAATTGTGGCTCCTGTCACACCCACGTATCCTCCCCCCAGGCCCTTGAGAAGACAGGCTGGGGTCAGTGCCAGAGAGCAAGCACTTGGCTAATTTGCAGAGGGTGGGCCAGAGACCCTGAGACCTCGCTGGCCCTGAACCAAGTTCCCAAGTGAGCAGAGATGCATGTCAGGCCCACACCGCAGAGAGGCAGTGTCTCCCGGGCCAGGCATGCTCTGAGGATGAAGGGGCACTCCGGGGAAGGCTTCCGGGAGGAGGCGGACATCCAGCAGGAGGGGGACAGGAGGGCGAAGTTTTCGGCATGGACAGGGCAGGCGGAGGCCATGGGGCTGCAGGCCAGGGCTCTCTCTGTGGATACAGCAGAAGTTGAGGAGGAAGAAGAAGATAACTGTTTCTATTGACTGGCTTCTCTCTGCCCAGGGCGTACGTATGAGATCTTTGTTTTTTGCCAAGACCAATAGCAGAAAGCGCCCGAGTCCTCATCTGCCGGGGCGGGGGTGGTAATGGTGGCCCTCAGCTCTTAGTGCGTGGGGGTAGTGACACCGAGAATGACTGAGAGTCCTAATCCCTCAGCACAGGCCCAGCAAGCACTCAGCCTGACGTTGGCGCCACTAACATCTTTAATAGGAACTTGAGCAATGAGTGTTACTCTCCCATCTGACAGATGGAACACTGAGGCAGCCAAGAACAGTGGCGCCTTCCCAATCTGGCACACCTGGTGAAAGCCCGGACTCTCAGTGAAGATATGTGGATCCAAGCTCCACACGCGAGCACCATGCCCCTCTCAAGATGCTCCAAAGGGCTTCCTCCCTGCCTCTTGGCCGAGCCCCGACGTGCGGGGCCAGAGGCAGACAGCTCAGGGGCCCGCAGCTGCAAGCCAGGCCGGGGGCTCGATCTGGCCAGGGTGGGGCTGTTTTGCCTGGACCGTTCAGGCCAGACCGACCTGGTCCGGCTTGACCACCACGGCGGCTTCACTGACATCTCTGTTCCCCCTTAAAGGCTCTGCCACCTGTGGACCCGGTCAGCCTGGAGCCCTTGTCTCCTGGGGGATCTGGGGGTGGGGGTGCAAGAAGGGGCAGTTGTTCACGGCTTTGCGGAAATGGAGGCACGCGCGGTCTGGCTCCCTGTCAGTAGAAACACACCGCACCCCACCTTGTGTGCTCAGCTGCGGGAGGGGCCCCAGGGGCAGGGAACAACTAGCAGGCCCTGGGAGGACACGTCGGCCCATATGTGTGCTTCTCCAACATGTGTTCTGATGGCTTCTTTCTCCCTCCTCCTGCCCACAGTGGCCCATGAGCACCTCAAGGAGAGGGGACTGTTTGGCCTCCCCCCTCCAGGCACCACCCCCTCAGACTATTACCACCAGATGACTCTCATGGCGGGCCACCCTGGGCCGTACGGGGACCTGCTGATGCAGAGTGGGGGTGCCACCAGTGCACCCCACCTCCACGACTACCTCAATCCAGTGGATGGTGAGTGCTGGGCCGGGGTGAGGGCAGGGAGCGGGGGAGGAGATCCTGTGCCATCTGTGGGCGAGGAGCCCTGAGGAGAGGCCTGGGAGCCTTGCTTCGACTCCTCTCCACAGGGGGCCGAGTCTGAGCAACTCCTCACAAACGCTCAGTGAGTCACCGCACGCCAGGGCATGTTTTAGCAGTTGCAGTCTGGGGGACAAAACACACTCATTTCTGCTTTCATGGAACTTACAGCATAACATGGAGAGATAAAGCCAAGAATGGAGTAGGAAGCAAGGGGGTGGAGTGAGGGGGGGTATAGTCTTGTATGAGGAAATTGAGAAATCCTCCCTGGGAAAATGATATTCAAGCAAAGAATTAAAGGAAGCGAGCAGTACAGAAATATGGGGAAGGAATGATCCAGGCAGGGGAAACAGCAAGTGCAAAGGGCCTGAGGCAGCAGCAGCATGCCCTCTGAGTTCAAGAAAAAGCCAGGACGCCAGCATGCCTGGCACCCAGTGAGTGAGAGGCAAGAATAGGGTGAGGCCAGAGTTCTGGGGCTGGTTGTGCAGGCTGGTTGGGGCTTGGTAAGACTTTGTTTGGGTTAAGCATCATGGGGCCTTTGGAAGGGGATTGGACAGAGGAGTAATGAGATCTGACTTCTTTTTTTTTTTTTTTTTAAACATTTTATTTGTTTTTGAGAGAGAAAGATAGCACAACCAGGGGAGGAGCACAGAGATAGGGAGACACAGAATTCGAAGCAGGCTCCAGGCTCTGTGCTGACAGCACAGAGCCTGACGTGGGCCTTGAACTCACAAGCCACGAGATCCTGACCTGAGCCAAAGGCATCCTCTTAATTGACTGAGCCACCCAGGCGCCCCGAGATCAAACTTATTCTTAAACAGAATTCCACCGTGTCTGCTGATCTGAGAAGGTTCTAGGGCAAGGCAGAAGCCGGAGGTCCAGTTAGTCGAGGTGTGGAGAAGTGATCACATTTTAGATAAAGCCACAAGATTTGTTCCCAGACCGATGAGTTAGGGAGAAAGAAGGGCATCAAGGAGAACAGCAAGGGCCTGAGCAGCTGGACACTGGTGGGTGATGGAGCTGGAGGCCGCCGGCAGGGCATCTCTGGCAGGCGGGAGATCCAGTATCCTGGGTTAGGTGATGTCCTGGGTACCCATAAAATACCAGGTCTTTCCTTCCCACCAGACACTATGCTGATTTCACAGAGGTACCTGTGGCCTGGGGCCCTGACCGTGAGCCCCTGGGAGCAGCATGGAGCCCCCTTGGAGGAGAGGGGAAGGGGAAGAGGCTAAGTGCCCACCTCCCCCAGTTAATGCCATTCCACCTGCTGCTCCTAGAGTCTGGCCCAGAGATACCTAGGGATCCAGGCCAGGCAGCGGAGCTAGAAGCCACAGCGAGCGGCATGGGGGGGCGGGGGGGGCCACAGATTTATCCCTCTCCAGCCCTGCCTGGGGTGCCTTTTTCAGTCCCCAGTGGTAGGAAGCACAGAGGCCTTGCAGGGAGACCTCCAAGAAAGCGATGGCCTGCTACCTGCTGGGCCGTGAGACTCAGGGTGGGTCCTTGCGCCACTCAGCCCCCTCCTGTCCCCCAGTACTTTCTGCCATGCCAGCCACTGCAGCTCCCCCTTATTGGCTGGAGCAAAGCCGAGCCCCCCCACATCTTAAGGCCTAGCTGAGATTTTCCCTCTGCCAGCACAGGTACCCTGCCCTTCCTCTCCCTTCTTCTGGATCCTTCTTGGCTCTCTCTCTCTCTGCCCTACTCATCTCGTGTGGTTCCTGAACCCTACAGAGCATTCCCTGTTCCCCCACAAGAGTGTTGATGGGGAGGAGCGCCAGATGCCACTTGTCAAAATTAGAGACTGGACAGCACGTACAATATGGTCCTCAAATAGCCACATCCGAACATCACACCCCCACACACAGGGCCTCCTACAGCCTGGGGGTGGCTGGCACCAGGCCAGCTGGACAGCGGGCAGACACACACTGACCACGGCCAAGGGACCTGGTAGGGCAGGTGTCCCCAGAGGGTAGGAGAGGCCGAGCCAGCCAACGTGCGCACGTGCTGCATGCCTGCACACCAGCCTCCTCCATCTGTGCCTGTCCATACCCCCACCCCCCCACCCCCGTGACTGCCCTCAGCTGCCCTCTGAGGCTGGAATTACCATCTCTACTTTAAGAGAAGCCAGCTGGAGTCTCAGGACTTCCCAAGGCCGTGAGTTGGGGGTTCAAGCCCCGCTGTTGATCACCAGCACCTGGGCCCTTTGCTTGGGCACGTTGCCCTTTGGGGTGACCTTGGGAAGGGAGTTCGGGCCGCGAGCTGCAGACACGTCCACGCCAGCACCCCATGTGCGTCCCTGCTGTGGGACATGACCCAAGCGAGCCGGGGGCACTGGGTGGGGTCCGGACAGTGATTCCTAGCCCTGCATGGCAGTTGGACTAAACACACTACTGAGTAAGATCGTGTGTGAACTTGGCCCAGTGCCTGGCGTGCCGTAGCTGCTCCAGCAATGCTATTTCCTGTGTCTTTCTACCCTTTTCCCTCTTTCACGTCTTCCCCTCCCACGGGATTGCAGTCTGTCGATGGCCTGTGCCGATGTCCACCCTATGCTTACCCTAATGCCCCAACTCCTCATGGCCACCGCCCCACGCCTCCCTCCCATGCAGCCCTGCCACGTCTGGCTTGTCAACCCCCACCACTCCCCCAGCCAGCCCGTTATTTGCCATCCTCCCAGTCCTGCCCTTCAGCTCTAGCTCCCTCAGCCTCAAGGCTGCCTCGCAGTGATCTTGCACCCCCTCCGCCATTCTGCACCCTTGTGGCTTGCGTCCCCCTCACGGCAGGATTCAGGCTTTATAACCCGGAGTGCATGGCTTTCCCCTCCAGCCTAGGCTTCCCCCGCCCCCTGCCTTGCACACTGCCTCCCACTACCCTGCTCCATGTGTAGCCTTCCAAATTCCTCTGCTCCTTCTGCCTGCAGTGCCATTTACCGCGGGCTCGCCCAGCTCGCTTCTGCACCATGTGTTCGGACCCTGAATCCAGCCCCAGCTCTGTAACTGGCTGCTGCTTCTCCGTTAACACACTAAGGGGGGATTCCCCCAGGTCCAGGAGCATGGCGGCCAAGGGCAGCCTCTGTGTTTGCAAAGTGACTGAGTGAGTGGCAGTCACCGAAACACCTAGGATAGCAAGATGCAAACTAACTGGGGAGGCCGTTTGCTGGGGCAAGCAGCTGGGAGCCGGGGGTGGGGGGGCAGGTAGCTGGGAACATGGCAGCTTTGTTCTCGGGGCGCTCGACATTTGGCAGCATCTGGGGCTGAACAAGGGGAGACGAGCTCATCAGGGGGCGTGAGAGCACTCGGGGGCACTTGGGACTCATCACGCCCACCCTGGTGCTTTCTCCACCTCTCCTCCTGGGAGCGGGATCAGCTCCCGGGTGCGGACGGAAGCTTCCACCCTGGACCTGAGCTGGCGTATCAGTTTCTCAGGCTGAGGCGTGGGTTGAGGCTGGGGTTCTGATCCCCAAAGGATTTCAGGAACAGATGATTCTTTTCCTTTGGTCCCAGTCGCCCACGATCCAGGGAGATCAGGGGCAGTCCAGCATGCTATCCTGTGTCTGTTTTGTTTTTCAGGCCAGTTTGAACTACAACCAGAACATTTGCTTCCACTTTTAAAGATGTTTTGGGCATTTCTGGGGCGCCTGGGGGGCTCAGTCGGTTGAGCATCCGATTTCGGCTAAGGTCATGATCTCGCAGTCTGTGAGTTCGAGCCCCGCATCGGGCTCCGTGCTGACTGCTCAGAGCCTGGAGCCTGCCTCTGATTGTGTCTCCCTCTCTCTTCCCCTCCCCCACTCATGCTCTGTCTCGCTTGCTCTCTCTCAAAAATTAAATTTTTTTTAATGTTTTAGGCATTTCTGTTACGCTCTGATGCCCTTGTGGCTGTGTTATTCACATGCATCTCTTAGAGACCCCGGTGCGCATAGCCCAGGTCAACCTCTGGGGTATCCCCAGCCCCTCCCTTCCTATAAACCGGGGAGCAGGGAAGACTCAGCAACTCCTGCTGGTCCCAGCTGCATGGGTGTGGGGAGAGAGCCTCCCAGGAAGCTCTAGTCCACCCAGTGTAGCTGTGAGTGGACCTTCTTTTTGCTCAGACCATCACAGAGAGAATTGTGCAAGCTCGGCACCCACCGGTAGAAGGGTCCCAAGACTCCGGGAATATGTGTGTTTGTGTTAGGATGCCTCCCATAAACATGACCATGATAGGTGAGCTCCGTGCAGGTGCAGGGGGCCTCACGAGTTTGTGGGAAGTGCAGGAAACTGGACCCTCTCCCTCTCTCATTCATTCTGGGGGTATTTCTTGAGCACCTCCTATGTGCCAGGCACGGTTCTCGGCGGGGACACGGTGGCAGAGCATGCCAAGTCATGCCTCACGGTGCTCACTACGTTCCACTTTGTAAGCTTCTCGGCAAAACAAAGAATATCCACCCTGGGGCCAGCCCACCGACCCCAGCCTCCTTTCTCCGCTCCTTGCCTTGACATTTCAAGAGGAGAGAACTTCCCAGAGGCTTTGAATGTCAAGTTAGGGTGTGGAGACCAGATCTGCAGAGCTTTGAGGCAACCTGCGGAGAAGGGGTCCCACCTGGCCCCCGGCCACCAGAGCCATGCCCCCAGCCCACTCCCTGGCAAACTACCAGTGCCATTTTCACCTTAGCCAAGCCCCAGCTGCACAATTCTTTATTTTATATTGCATCTTTCATACACTCCCCTTCTGGGGTTAAATAAATAGACCTTAAAATAGAACTTTTTTTTTTTCTCATACGGGAAGCCAGATACTATCTGAGGAAGATGTCCGTGCCCCGGTCTCCATCGAGCCTAAAATAACCTCATCTGGGTTGAGTGTGCATTGAATGGATCCCTGCGGTGGTGCGGGAAAGGCAGGACGGCAGGGAAGCCTCTGCCGGGGCTCTCGCGGAGTGAAAATCCAAGCCCTGCCCTGCTCCCAGGTCA